GTCTACACCTACCCCAACCCTAAACCTACCCTTACAGTAATGCAGATACATTAAATATTGTTGTTCAGCGTGAGAAAAAGGACGCAATATTGATGTGCCCATGCGCAGTAAACCCTGGTAGGACAATCTGCCAGGTAGGATAAAAATGTGCTCGTGCGATCAACTGAGAAAGTTAGTCGCAAAAGAGCGACCAGTGGGAATAATGAGTCTGGAGCCCTGAATTGTCCAGCTTCCCATCAATGATCTAGCACCCCCTCAGCACCTGCGTTCAAAATTCTCAGGCGCCGCCCCTGCCCAACCTGTATCCCGAAGCTCTCAACATCCCAGTCATCATCTTTCTACCGTACACAGGGCCGCAAACAGTAACTGCTGGTCAAACGACTGCATCCACACCATCTCTCCCTAGCCGTGCGTAATCAAAACGATGAATGTTCCTCGATGCGCAGAATTTAGAAATGGAGGAAATACTGGAGCCTCTCCCGAGTCCATATTGCTGCTGTAGGACCTCTTGAACTTGTTTACATGTGTATCCCAGCTCCTCTACTAACATGCGGATTACACTTTCGTAATCATCAAGCACTCTCCACTCACACATCTTCCAGAAAATCTGTGGTTGTTAACATGCAGTCACACAGTTAATGGAGGTCTGATGATAAATTATTGCATGGTCAGACATGCCAATCCACAGGCATAGGGCCTATACATACAGCGCTCTGGGTAAATACATCCACATCCCCACCCCCCGCTCCCCCCACTGGTACGGTCCAAAACTGGAGTAATGACTGCTGAAAACTCAGCTTTGCTAACACGGGAACAAATTACATTTTAAAATATATTAACACTGAAAACAGTTATTTTAAATTATAATCATTATTATAATAATATTTGACAATATTACTTTTTTTTTTTATAAAATAAACGCAGCCTTGGTGAGCATAAGAGATTTTCAAATGCATAACAAATACACATTTCCTCCATTATACCATCCAGCACTATTTAGCATTAATACTAACCAGCCCTGTTCTGTCTTGAACTTGTACACTGATCCCAGAATATGACAGAGAGCACCGCCTGGCCTTAGGTCCTGAAAACACTTTGCCTGAAGACAAAGAAACAAGGGTGAAACAACTGATCACTCATAATTCTGCAGAACTAGGTGTCATGCTATGACTGATCTGGGTGTGGTGGTGTTGATTACCTCCTTGACTCTATCAAAAAGGTAAGAAGTGGAAAGGGATGTACATAAATCTACAGGAATAAAAGTGTTTATGGATTTCTTGTCAGAGAAAGAAGAGGAAAAGCAGCAACTCACTGGGAGTTTTGTAAAGCTTGGGTTATTTGCTTGCCGGCCAAATGAATCTTCCTGAAACTGCAGCAGTTGGATGACCAGCCCAGGCAGAGACTTGCTGGAGGGAGCATCAGTCTGTACATACTAAAGAGGGGGGAGGGGGGGACAAAATACTGTATTTTTAAAACTGCATGACAAATTGCAACAAAAACTGACAACAATTGCAAAGAGGCCTATACCCTTTTGAGTGTTTAAGAGCTTTCACTTCGATGGATTTTGCTACATACTGTACTAGTACTATTGGATGGTTTACACATTTAAACAGTTTAAGACTTTAGATGCATCAAAGTATGTGTTACCTACAGTGGGCATTGGACAGGGATGCCATGGCACTGAGAGGAGGGTGTGTCAGTCAGGTCGTGTAAACAAATACCTTTGACCACAAACCTGTTTCTGCAAACTTAAAGCTGCTAGCATGCTGCTAACATCAACACTTACTTACACCGCGTCACGTGGAAACTACAAAGCAGTCTTTTATTTTATGCTGACTCAAACGGTGGAGTTTAATATAAACATAACTTTACCGTTAAAATTAACACAGAATGAAAGTTGTTACTTCTGTAATGTAAATTACGTTGAGACCGTATTCTGTGGAGTTAGCTGTTCATTCCTTTATTATATGAGGCAAACAGACAAAATACTACCACGTAAACGAGACTTTTGCAGTTTGAGGCGTTAATAAGAATCAGAAAACCACTAAAATAGCAAGACAACCAGAGAGGTCTGTAAAAAAAATCAAAGAAAGCTTCAGGTAACCACATCATACATGGGGTCCTCCGGCTATCTAGCTCGCTAACCTTTTTATAATGTTTTCCAATCCAACTGCGAACCGTTTCCAACTGAGAGATCATTTCCGGGCTTTCCCAGAATTTACAGCACGGTCCACCGTCTATTTTTCGGCTCAACGAAGAGCTGCAACCGGCTTGACTCATCGTAGGTCCTCCAGCAGTAGATCCTAGCGCTTGTGTAGTAGCCATTGTTACATGCTAATTATTAGCCTTCGCTGCCCAGAATGACTGAAGCCTCCGCAGCGCCTCTAGCGGTCAGACCAAAAAAGGCGCCAACGACGCCTGCTGCATACTACACACTGTGCATACTGCGTACTTGCCATTATTTCGTCAGATTACTACAGAAAGTAGAAGGAAACTACAGTACACAATAAACGGTAATCTGTAGGATATTTAAGATTAGGATGGCAAAACATTTATTCAGCAGTCATACGCAACTTTCAACACTGCAACTAAATCTTAACACTGAAACTAAATGAAATTAATTAGACAGAGGCAATGAAATTGGAAATTTTAATTGTTGCTATATATATTAGTTTCTTAAATATTTTTATTTCTATTTCTTTTTAATTGCTGCTACATATACAAATATAATCAAATTTGAGACATTTAAAAAGGGTCCATCATAGTACAAATCATATCATGTTGTTTTCATCGTTATGAATGTCGAAATGCAGCTGCCCTTGAACACTATTTTTTCAACCCAGACCTTCAGACAACCTGCATGAGATAAGTGATGTGTCCTTAAAAACTTAAATGCTAAACAGATAAACAGTGTTATATTTTTTAAATATATAGTTATTTTCAATACTACAAGCAATTAAGATCAACCCAGGAATGTGACAAACGTAAAATGTGAACTAGTTTTTGAAATACCCCTAATTCTTTACTGAAGGACGGGCCAGTGAATGGCGCATGCTCAGTGCGAATAGGGAGTGTTGGAGACAGCCAACAGTGCAGGGAAAGGCAAGGCGGTGAAAAGAGAAGCCCGTCTTCCTTTCGAAAAGGGAAAAAGACGTTAACGGAGCTTCGTTGTATGTCACAACCGGCCATGCCAACGACACAGCGATGTATTATTACGGCAATCGGAATAAAATGAGCGCTAGTGCAGCCGGGCCTGGAGTGGAGAGTTGTGGGGCCGGGTGTCCGCATAGCGCCAGCCGCTGCTGCGGGGGAGGAGGCTGCGGTGAGCCCGTCAGCGGTGACGGAAGCTCGGCCGCTGCGGCTACAGCCACCAGCGCTGCCCCAGTGCGGAGCTCAGACAGGGAGAACAGCGTAGCAGAGGCCCAGGCGTTCCGCGAATGGGACGATGCCACCTCCGGCGATGCGGATCCGGCCCAGAAAATGAACGAGGAGGGATTTTTTACGAACGGCGCTGCTGATATCACACGGGAGGGAGACGAATGCGCGGATTCGGGGGAATACAGCGGAGGACGCGGGCGTTTTTGTAGACAAAGCACTGGAGCAGGCGAGGATAACACCATTAATATTGATCACGAAGGAGCTGGCTTGCGGTGTTTCATGAGCGCTAAGACAAGAAGGGACGAGCGTAGAGCGAGCGCGAGACTGCCGCCGGTGCGCATCGCGAGAGCCCGACGAGGACACACGGCTCACGCCGAGACCGAGCGCGCGATGTCGACAGTCGCTGCAAGGTGTGGTCACGGAAATTCCGAGCCCGCGGTCATCAAGCGCCGGGGATGCAGTTTCACCCGAGCCTCCAAGAGGGTGTGTTTCTCGGGCAAGTACTGCGGCAGCTCGGACGCCGCGGCCCGCGTTGGTTCCAATGGTGAAGCTCACGTGAAGAGCTCCGCGAGCACTGCCGAGACTTTCAGGCGCACGTCCTTACGTCGTATCCACTGCGAAAACAGGACCGGGGCCCAAAAAATTAATTTCGCAACGTGCCCGCCTGATGAAAGTGCCCAGCTGCCCACATGCAGGACAGCGAAGGGGCGCGTCAGACTGTACAGGGTGCGCTCCTTTCTTTCCAGCTCTGCCCACTATAACAACGGGGTCAGCAGAAATGGTGCCCCTCACAATAGCCTTTCACTGCAATCCTCCCTCCAAGCCGAGCCCGACCTACGTGATTGCGTAAAAAAGCCCCTGTGTGCCCTCTCCATCACTTCTTCTCAGTCTGAGAGTGGGCCTCCTAACGGGACAGAGCCAGAGCCACAGAAGTGTGACCGTACAAGTATGGGCATTGATGCACATGGGACTGAGGGCCCCAGCACGGAGCAAATAGAGGCGGTGAGGGGTGAAGCCGAGCGCAGGCAGGCAGAGCTGGAGGGTCGTACCGACCACCTCTGGCGGCGCCTGCAGGCCATACAGGTGAAGCAGGTGGAGAGGCATGTCATGCAGCAGCTGCATGGCCTACACAGGTGCCTGGGGTTGAGCTGCACCAGAAGGCCCAGTGCTGTGTCCAGAAACTCAGCCGAGCTGAGCAGGCTGGCGTGCAGCTGCAGCGAGATCCTCCGGACTGCAGAGAGCACCCTGGACTCGGACCACACGGCCAGCAGCTCAGGAGGTGACAGTGTCAGTGAGGAAGATGAGGGATTGGAGAGAGGGGGACGTCGTTTTAGACCGCTGCCAATAAAATCAATGTAAGCTTTTAACACTATGCTTAACCGCAGGTTAAGATCTCTTAACCCAGAGTTAAGTAATGTTTTTCTCCATTATGAGATGCCAAAGATAAAAAAAAAGCCCAGGAACAAGATGGAGCAAGATAACCCAGTGTTAAAGGATAGTCCACCCAAAAATGAACATTCTGTCATCATTTACTCAGCCTCATGTCGTTCCAAATCTGTATGGATTTCTTTCTTTTGTGTAAAACTTTCAGTATTTTTTGTCCATACAATGGAAGTCAATGGGAACCAAAACTGGTTCAAAATACATTCTTTTGTGTTCAGAAGAGAAAAGAAATGCGTACAGATTTGGAAAGACATGAGGGTGTGTAAGTCATGACAACTTTCAGTTTGGGGGAATTATTCCTTTAAGTGCTCAGCCTGCTTGTATATACATGCATGTACACCTACATGCACATATGTAGAAAAGCTTTAGATGAGTCATTGCATGTTGGTGTTGCCTTTTGAATCACCACTGTACTTTGCAGTGTACATGCTGCAATGGCTGTTGATTCATGGCTGCCATATTGGGAGGCTACAAAGCCATTTCACGCCAGGCTGTTGGGAATAAAATGGGTCAGAAGAAGCTTCATCCTCAATTCTTTTAGGACCTCCAAAATGGTCCACTCGGGCAATGTTTTTGCATTCCTGTAGCTTGAACAGTACAGCATGGCACTAGCAATGCCAAGATCATGGGTTTTATGCATTTACTCAATATTTAGTTTCTTTTCTTTCAGTGTCACTGGCAAAGAATGGCAGTGGGCGGAGAGCAGGGCGTGGCTTGGCAGCAGGTGGGTGTGGCTGCAGACTCAAGTATCAGAACTTGAGTATCGGATCCGTGCGCTGACAGAGCTTTACACGCATCTTCGACAGGGAAAGGTATTTCGGGTGTCCATCTGTGTATTTTTGGGTTATTATGGGTGGTTTGATTCATCTGTATTTTTTATGTTTCATCCAGGTTCGGTCCACTTGCTCTGTCCCTGACACACCCCTCAGAGCATCAAACCCCTCCTCTGCATCACACAACTACAAGTCAGTAGACGATTTAACTTGCATACAAACACACACTGGTAAATTTTTGGATTTGACACTTAATGTACTATTGCACTACCCCCTAGGTTGTCCTCTGCTGGTGATCCTAGCAGGAAGTGGCAGACAGAAGACACCACCACTCCACAAACCGTGCCCAGTCCTCCACCTTCTGCCGCACGGGTTCGACCGTTACTCCGGCAACGACGTCACAGACTCGTTCGCCTGGAAGATTGCACAGCACTGGGGTCAAAGGTGAAGACAGTTGACCTTGCTGCTTCTTTTCTGTTATGCACAGTAACTTTTATTATTATTGGCTGCTCTTCATTTTGAATGATGCCTTGAAGAGAAGATAAAAAACAGGAATCACAATGCTGAATTCTTGAATTTGTGTGTCCCTCTCAGACAGTTTCGTTACAGTGCTGGTGTGAACCACCGGCTGTGTGTGTGTTATGTAGTGGTGCTACTTCTCGCTCCCCCTCAAACAAGCGTCTGTGGATGCGTCAGACCTGGCTCGATATGTCCATTCACCCTGTCCTCTCAATGCCATCAGGTGAAAAATGTATAATCTTATATATATATATACACACTTATACTGTATATATAAGTGTGGCTTTAGTGTTCTTGTACTTTTTGGGGCCACTGTGGATATAAGTGTAGCAAATACTTACCATCACATTTACTTTTTTACCTTAATGCTTTGAATTTCCTCCATTGCAGATTCACTCCTTGCACTGCATTGTGGGATACGCCCGCTGGCCGGGCACCACTCTCATAATTCACTACAGTGGACAGACATCACAGCACTGGGGTCAAAGGTGAAGACAGTTGACCTTGCTGCTTCTTTTCTGTTATGCACAGTAACTTTTATTATTATTGGCTGCTCTTCATTTTGAATGATGCCTTGAAGAGAAGATAAAAAACAGGAATCACAATGCTGAATTCTTGAATTTGTGTGTCCCTCTCAGACAGTTTCGTTACAGTGCTGGTGTGAACCACCGGCTGTGTGTGTGTTATGTAGTGGTGCTACTTCTCGCTCCCCCTCAAACAAGCGTCTGTGGATGCGTCAGACCTGGCTCGATATGTCCATTCACCCTGTCCTCTCAATGCCATCAGGTGAAAAATGTATAATCTCAAGATTATTTGTTATTTTGTTTTCTGTGTGTAAGCACAGAATTGTGCAAAGTTGTATATTATTTAAATCCATCTATATTTAGCTTGTATTTCAACAGTACAAACTGTACAAGGCTGTTTAAATGGTCCTTTTAGATCGATGTCCTTGAAAGTTATCCTGTGTGGCTTTCACTTTACAATTGCGCTGAAATTTTTGTGGAATTTTCTTTTTTATTTATATTCTAAATCTATTAAAATATATATTAAATTATAATATTCAAAAATAATAATATAATGTGTATATATATATATAGTAAAGTAATATAAAGAGATATATATATATATATATATTCTTTTTAATTTTTTTATAACTCTATAGGGTATGTGTGTGTGTGTACATGTCATCGGCGTCCTCTTGGCCAGGGAGACGGGGCCAGGGACGAGTTGGGAGAGTGAGAAGGAGACTAGTTTGTCCTCATCCGCCCAACGCACTGCCTCCTTTATTTAACACACCTGGTGGGTGAAATATATATTGTCACTTATATCAACACACACACACAAACAGTGTATATATATATACTGTATTACACTACTGTTCAAATGTTTGAAGGTAAGGTTTGAAGGTAACAGTAACGTTTTTTTGTTTTAAAGAAATGAATACTTTCTTTCAGCAGTAAACACTGTGTTTATAGTGTTAACATTAAACAGTAAAGACATTTATAGTGTTACAATTGAATGCTGTTTAAAGAATTTGTGGAAACAGATCGCAACCTTGTTGAGCAAAAAGATTAAAACATTTTTACCATTTTCAAGAAGTTAACAAAATTGCTTTTGTAGGTGGTTCTGGGTGCAGAAGTCAGAGGGGTGTGATTATTCCCAACTGTCTTCATCCACGAGCTCCAGATTTACCCATTCTGCCGTCAACACCCCCAACGACAGACACACCCACTCAGGTACATCTGGTTAAAAAAAGCAAAATGTCAGCAGCTCACAATTCTATGTGTTGTGGATGGCTTCCTAAACCTCTCTCTTGTTCCTCAGCCTTTGCGAAGGAGGAGAGCAGAATGCTCATTTGACATCGACAACCTGGTGATGCCTTTGGGCTTGGCTGGACTAGGAGCATGTGTACAAAGATTACAATACAAGGAAATTATCACCCCAAGGTACAGATAATGCAACCTGACCTCCAAAACCACTACAATGAATATGTACTTACTCAAAAATATTACAACAAGAATGAGCGATTACGTAATAAACATTTAGCTTTAATGCGTCGGACTTCCTGTGGTCCTTCTGTCAGATAGCCATTGTGCAAAGTGGCTTTGGTTTCAAGTAATTTCCCATCAATTATTCAAACACATTGCCAAGTATCCACTGTTTCCTTGTGACCTATCGTTTATAAAGTAGTACAGGTACATTCCAAACTAGAGCCAGTCTAGTTATATAAGCATATAGTGTATTTACATTATATTATAAGGAAGCTTAACAGTGAAAGACAAGAGCGTACTAGCATACTGCTATGGGTTTTCCGTGGCAGATACTGATAACTTGAGAGCAGGATCACTGATGGCTTACACACACACACACACACAAACATATATATATATATTTGTGTGTGAAAATTATTCAGACACCAGATATAATTATTTATTTATTTATTTTTTAACTAGTGGGTGCAGGACACTATAGTTCATTTCTGTAAGTGAGGATAGAAAAATAAAGTAAACTGTGACATATTACCCAAAAATTCTTCATACAGTGGACTACCAGTAAAATTGATAAAAAATTTGGGTCCAAAAATTATTCAGACACTTTGACCTGACCATGTTTTGCTTAAGTGTTATCTGACATTATCAAGATGAATATGTTCTTCTGACACAGTTTAACTCTGAGTTCTTGTCATATTTTATTACCGTTTTCTAAACTATGGTGAATAAACTGTGACAATGTGTGAAATGTTAAAGGTGTCTGAATAAACTTTGCTTTGACTGTGTGTGTGTATATATATATATATATATGAAATATACACAACTTCAGAGACCAAATGATTAAACAAACTCTTCTTTTACACTACATTTACTTAAAATTCAGTAATACATTTAAAAAAAAAATGTGTTGTTGTTGTTGACATGGCTTTTAGTAGATTTGGGATGTGAGAGAATGAGAAACATCACATCTGTTAATTGGCCAAGCTAGCAGGTTTTTTGGCTGATGCTGATAGTCTTAAATCGTTGGCTGATATATAAGTCTAGCACTATTGTTGATGAAAAATGTGTAATGTGCCCTATGTCGTGTGTTTAGCTGGAGGGAGCTGGACTCTCTCTCAGGGCTCTCTAAAAACCAGGAAGGGGCACATGCCCTGTTGTTCAATTACAATAACACACAGTACCAGCCCAATGGAGAAGGGCTAGACAATGAGGAGGAAGAGGTTTGTATGCCTTTAACAAGTTTTTTCTTTACATGCTTTCTCATAAACATACCTGGTATTTTGTCTCAATTTTTTTCGACCATTCAAAATTATCGCTGTATTAGTATGACAATACTTGCAATGTTTGCATAGGTGGAGGATCTCTCTGACGCTGTGTTTCTGAGCCGCCATGCAGTTTGTGAGAGCAGAGAGAGGAGTCGGTGGGGGAGCTGGGCTCGCAGACGTCGCCGGGGCAGGTGAGAAAAATTTGTGTGTGTTAGAGGCATATGTGATGGAGAATATTTAAATGGCTGTCAGAATAATGTTTTTTAACAACAGGGATCGATTTGTAATTAAATACTTTAAAATGCTGTATGTTTGGAACATTAAATAAACTCAACGGGTTAGAGCTAGCTTAGCTTTTAGGGCACATTCTTCAACATATTAAGCCACAAGGCTTATGAGGGTGAAACAAATTTCAAAAATAAATAAAATATTAAATTACATAAAAGAAAAAACACAAAAAGAATATAAAATAAAATATAATAATAATGTTTAAAAATATATATTAAAAAATTATAATATTCTAATTCAGCAAGGATGCATTCAATTTGATCAATTGATAGTAAAGACATTCATAATATTACAAAGATTTTTATTTTAAAAATATGCTGTTCTTTTGAACTTTCTATTCATTAAAGAATCCTGAAAAAGTAAGGAGTAATGGTTGCTGAAATTCATTTTTTCTATCACATGAATAATTTATACTTTAAATTATATTAAAACAGAAAATATTATATTTTAAAGATAATAAACAATAAAAAATAATAAGCAATAATAATTCACAATATTACTGTTTTTACTGTATTTTTGATTACATAAATGCATCCTTGGTGAGCATAAGATACTTCTTTCAGAAACCATTAAAAAAAATCTTACAGTCCTCAAATTTCTGCATTAGAAGTTAGAAGTAGATTGCATTAATGGTTAATGTCACATCATGACTTTTACATAAAATATATATTTGTGTAGTTAACAAATAACTTGCACATGTACTTTTTTTGCACTTCAAGAATGTAGGTTAAAATTTACAGATGTATAAAGGGTAGTTTGGCACTGAAGCTTACACATACACCTATTTCATGCACTCTCTCAATTAATATGTGGCCATAAAACAGTGGGTAGTTTTAAAATCGTTTTAGATGACGTATAGCATGTCAAACTGCAGGACGCTGTGGTCAACGCTTGAAATTTCACTCTCTGCTTGACTTCCTCCCTCAGATCTTCTTCCTCCTACCATGGGGATGGGAAGAGCTCCAGGGGATTGGAGCAGACACCTGGCTCTCCAGATTCCAGGCAAAGTCATTTTGCAGAAGGAGACATCTCGCCATGCAGTCCCTTCTGTACTGGAACGGAGGATCCCTTCAGCCAGGCTGAGGATGAACAGCAGGTGTGTGTGTGTGAGAGAGAGAGAGGAGGAGGACTTAATGTTCTTTTCAACTTTATTATTGCTGTAACAATGTCAATTAGCACTTTAGTTGGAAGAACATCCTGTAGTTCAAAAAAATGTATTTCTCCATGTATCATTAAATCCTTGAGTCTTCTTTTGGGGGCTATTTGTGCATCCTGAAAGATATATATATGCTTAATATTCTTTACATTGTGAGAGAATATAAATGCATATAATAAACCATAATAAATCATCTTCTTCTACATTTGCAGGCTGCGCTGCCATGGGAATGCCGGTCGTTCCCCTTGCAGGAGTCAGAACTTCAGTGGCTGCAGGAGGAGGAAGAGGCGGAGCCCGACGAGGACCCGTGCACCGCCAGCGGCCGCAGCCAAAGCACGGACTCGGGCATCTCTGTGGGCAGCCTGGAGCTCTCCCCGAGGACCCCTCAGCCCCCTCAGCAGCACTCAGGCACAGAGCGAGCCACCCCTCACACACTGTCCTGCAAACCAGCCACCCCGACGACAGTCTCTACAGCTCAGGATTCTCCCACACTTCCTCTTTCCTTATACTCATCCTCTCCTTTATCATAGCGCATCATTTGTCCAACTGTTTTTTCTGCGCTAGTATGAAAACAAAACCACAGGTCCCAATGCCATTGACCCTGTCCACCCATTTATCTAACCACAAGCACCTTGTGTCCTTACATCCTGTGCCCTTTCCCTGAACCTTCTGGAGCCTTACATAAAACCACAGAGCCTATTATTTATAATCTTCCCTCAAACCTTCACTCATTCGCCCAATAACAAGTGCATCTTCACCAACAGCCCAGTTTGGCCATTAAGCATCTCTGGTCCTTCCTTATACATCCTTTCAACTCTGCTTCACCAGCCTGCCCCCGATACAGCTGCCGTTCAATCTGATGTTACTGTAATGAACAGATGGTGTCTGTTATTCCGTTGTTTATTAATTTTTTGGACCTGTCTAAAGCTTTTTCTCCAGCTATGTCAGTCAGTCATTTTGTGTTTTAGTTAAATCCTTGTTTAAAGCTCTATGCTGTTTTCACAGATAACGATGTTACGCCAACATGAGATGAACCCAATTTGAAAACTCTTGGTTATTGATCTCCATATAAAGGCACTACATATTACCCTCATATTCTGTGACCTTATTCATGTGTTGTATTGTATGTATTCCGCAGAGATGTATGCATACTGCCGAAGAATCATAGCATTTCAAGTCTGTTTCATGCTCTCTGGGATGCTACATGTGTCTTTCCTTTTGAGCTCAACACAAGAAGTATTTTTTTATTATTATTATTTACATATGACATGCTATGCGTGTGTGTGTGTGTGTGTGTGTGTGTGTGTGTATTATGTTAAAGGAAGAGTGATAGTTCTTGTGTTAATCAGAGAGTGTGTATGTGTGTGTGATTTAGACAGGTCTGCTGTACTGCTGCATTAGGGGGTAGCGTTGAATAAAAACATCATTTTGTAGGAACACAACAAAACTAAGTAAAGTAAATGGAATTTCTATTTGAAACGCACATGATGCTCTCAATGCAAAGACGTAATAAAAGGAATAAACACATAAATGCAAACTACTTTTGCTTGATGCTTATTTACTTATTTATGTTCCTGTATAGAAGAGCATTTTAAAAAATGGCCCAAAAAGTAATTATTATGAGACAGTAATAATTATGAGAATTAAAATTATGACATACTAAATCATTAATATGAGATAATATCTCCAAATTATTAGATAAATAGTATTAATGGAAATTTATTTTTTTCAGTTTTTATTTTTTCATTTTCATAATTACCTTTTTTTTCATCATTACTACTTCTGTCAGTTTCCACTTAATCTCAATTATGATTTAGTAGCCTATGCTTAATTATGATTTACCAAAGCATGTTTTTTTTACTTATCTGTTGAAAATGGGCTTTCATATTCCTGCCTATTTGTCCTAAAGGGATAGTATTATTTCATCAAAAAATATCTAATTTATTCATTTATATGATTTCTTTTCTCTTTTTTGTCATCGTTTACTTACCCCCATGGAGTACTAACCCATTTTCTTTATTCTGTAATACACAAAGGAGATCTTATAGTTTAAGCTATTTTCATTCAGTTCGATGTAAAAACAATAGGCTATGTCTTGCATCCTTTAATGTTAGCGAACATTGTTTAGAAAAAAAAATTAAATTACTTATTTTATAGCCTAGCCAGTGATCACTAGATTTTATACAGATGTTACTATAATGATTCTGTAAATGGTGATCAGCGCCCAAATATTGTATAAAATAATGTGGAAGTTACTGCCTTTTGCCTTGGCGTGACATCTCACTTTTCGCAGACAGTGCAAAGGCAAAGTACCTACAATAACTTCAAAATAGCGGTAAAAATCAAGTTTGAGATCATTGACAGATTTCCAGCGTCCTACCCATAATTAATTTTTTCTGGACAAATAAAAATCTTTAAAGACATTTTTTAAGTTTCACAGTCTAGCCAGTTTCACACTCTGGAGCAGAGCCGTCCACCTGTCACTCAAGTGGCCACGCCCTTAATTATGCAGAACTTAACACATTTCATTACACCAAATACACAAAATAATGTTCTTTTTAGCAGCATCATATGACCCCTTTAATATAATTTAAACGGATGAGTTATAAAAAATTCACCCCCCTCACAGTTGTCATGAAGGGCAAAATTACCTATATAGACCAAAAGCACTTTTTGTACCAGGCTGTAAACATTTTTTTCTGCTGTAAAGTTGGGCATTTTAACATGGGGAGTCTATGGGACTGACTCCCTTTTGGAGCCAGCGTCTAGCGGTCAGTCGATGAATTGCAGTTTTAGTCACTTCCGTATTGGCTTCAAGCGAGAGACCGCCGCTGCATCGCGTCGGTCACGTGACACGGGAGCACCAATCGCGTTTTGGTCTTGGAACTTGACCACGAATGTTAATTTTCCGATGTATGATTTTTACTGTCTTTTGATTCCTCCCCTAGCATATTAAATTCCTGTATAAACCGGTTTGCAGGTTTGTTATCCTTTCATACATTGTAAGGATTAAATAATTACAAATAAATGCGCTTTCCAGTGTTTAATGGTGGCAGTTTTGATATTTCACAGCGGGACAAACAGCGTCCTCTTCCATTAAGTTACAATAGGTGGCGCTAATGCGCTGAAATAGTCTGTCACGCCCAAATGGCGAACAACGAGACGGATCTACAAGGAAGAAAATACAGCGCATAACCGTAGGTGCATAACACACTGGTGAGTAAATCAAGTACGAGATGTTTGCTTAAGATTCAATACTGGAACAAAATGTGCTATTTAGATATTACAGTGGTGCTTGTTTTATCAAATGGACAGCACTGTTATTGGTTTATGTATAACTTGTGCAGACAGACACCGCCTCGTGCAGTTACTCCTCAGTAAACGTTATAGGTCGTGAAATAGCTGAATATCTCTGAACACATCAAGTGAAAGAATAGCCATTAAAAAATACAATATTGCCGTTAACCTCTCCAAACGTACAGAAAACATATTATTTGAAGGTTAAGCATGTTAAAAAAAAAAACCTATGGTAATTGTTGTAAAGCATTAACTTTCCAAAAGTTATTTACAGTGAATTACAGACATATAAAATAACTTGATAATTGGCTGAAACTTAAAATGTCTTTGGTACATAATAAGCACAATAAATAGTTTTACAATGTAAATGCACACTTATTGACATCCCGGTAGTTTATTGATCTACAAAGGGAATTCTTAAGTAGATATCCACTGTATTTTTTTTATTAAATTATGACTTCAACTATCAAGCATCTTTACTTCATTAATATGACATTTTTCTTTCATTTTATATATATATACATATATAATATGCTGACAGTAAAGTTGTATCTGAAGTAGGTGACATGTAATCAAGTGATTACATAGTGTTGTTAGATCATGCTGACTATGCCAAAAATGTTAGACTGAATCTCTATGCCAGAAATATTTATTCCAGTCTCTACCAGATCCCATCAAAAGATATGTTTTGTCTGGTATCCAAAACCAGGTTGCAGAGTTTTGCCAGATACCCAAAACCAGTTAACAAAAATGCATTTTGTCTGATACTCAAAACTGTATTAACTAAATGTCTTCCTTCAGCCTGAGAGGTAATAGCAGGAAGCAGGAGATGAAGTAATGATTATAAAAATTGAGCAGGGTTTATTGAATCTTGGTTGCATATGTTTCAATGCTCAGACTTTGTCTGAACTTCATCCCTACTTTGTCTGGACTTTGTCTGACCAGCACAAATCCAACAAGTTTTATTATACCAAAACAAAATCAGTGGAAAATTACTGCTTCACAACATCATCATGTGGCATTTAAAACCTTGAAATGGAGACATTCTTTTATCTCTAACTGTTGAAGACAAATGTCCCTTGAAACCACATAATCATCAGACTAAACAACAATAAAAACACAAGGACAGTAAGTAAAATAATAAGCAATAAAAGAAAAATTATTAAAAGAAAAATAATTATGATTGATTAAATTAGTATAAATTAATAACAAAAAAGACATAACACAGATGCATGGCTTCTGTCTTGAAGACACACATACAGGTTGATATTAAGAATCTTCCAGTATTGGGGAATGGGGGAAAATTCACTGTCCCATTTTATTGGTTCATTAAATTTCCAGCAAAAACAAGCAGTAACAACATTTTATGCTTTCTTTGCAGCATTTCTGCGGCATCATGGGGGTTCACGGACTTACGAGTTTTGTGGAAGGAAATCGTCAGTTCTTCACAGATATGAGACTGCGAGACTGCCGCCTTGTGATTGATGGGTGTAGCTTATATTTTCGATTATATTTCAACTCTGGATTGGATCAGGCACGGGGTGGAGACTACGACACGTTTGTGGTGTTGGTTCGACAATTTTTCGCAGCACTTTCTGAATGCAGCGTGCAGCCGTTCGTCGTGTTAGATGGTGGAATGGACCAGACAGACAAGAAGTTCAAGACACTACAGGAAAGAGCCCAAAGCAAGATTCGAGAGGCTAATGCTCTTTCCCGAGGATCGCATGGTTGTGTTCTCCCTCTGCTTGTATGTGAAGTCTTCAAACGGGTCCTTTCAGAGCTTGGCATACCTTTAGTTCAATGCATTTCTGAAGCTGATTTTGAAATAGCCTCTCTTGCCAAACACTGGGGATGTCCAGTTCTGACCAATGACAGTGACTTCTACATCTTCGACCTCAAAGGTGGCTACCTACCGTTTTCATTCTTCCAATGGAATAACATCAGCGGTAAGGCTACAGAACGCTACATCCCTGCACGCCATTTCACCGTGACCCGCTTCTGCTCACATTTCAACTACATGAACAAGCAGCTCCTCCCTCTATTTGCTGTTGTCATGGGGAACGACTACACACCTGCTAAAATAACCGAGGTTTTTTTCAGCCGCGTGGAATTCGAAAGAGTACCCTCCGGTCGGAAGTATGGACGTTCCAGTCCTCGAGTCGAGGGCTTTTTGCTCTGGCTGTCACAGTTTACCAGCCCAGTAGATGCTCTGGACGAAGTCCTGGAGATTTTGAGTGAACAACGGAAAGGAACCTTACGTACGCAGCTCTCCGCAGGAATGCAGGACTACCAGCTTCCTCACAGTAGCAGTTTGGCTCAATACTTCTCAAGTCCCCAACCTGCACTTCCAGATGCCCAGGGGCTCCCAGCAGCACTGGTTTCTCAACCCGAATGGCTTTTAAGGATGGTTGCATCAGGTAGGCTGTCGTCCTTTGTCTTGGATGTGCTTGTACACCAGAAGGTTCTGCTGGTTGCACAGGTGGAGAATAGTCACCTGCCTAGCAGTCATACAAGCTCAGTGAGTATCCGAAAGACCATCTACAGCCTTCTGCTTGAAAAGGCAAGACAGGATAGTCAGACACCACAGGGAGTCACCCATAGAGGAAGAGGAAGGGGAAGACAATCTCAGGGTAAAGGAGGACAGCAATGTGACATCCCATGTGTTGATGAGTATGACAGACAAGAACTTAATCTCAAGAAAAACACAGTGGAGGCTCCCCGACCCAACTGTGTGCCACAGCTGACTCTTGCAGCAATTGACAAGGTGAGAAACTATTTCTGCATGTAAATATTGTCTGTATATTGTTCCACCAATTGCCTTTTGGTTTTTTATTATAGGCGTCTACACAAGTGAGGCTGCAGGTGTTGTTGGGAACACTCGGTGTGATGGACAGTGTTTTACAGCCTTTACCCCCTCATCTTTGCCTTCCTGTGTGTGTGACGTATTTCTGGATGAACAACTGTAAACCAAAGCCCAGTCATCCTCTACTGCAGGCCATATTGTTGGGACTAGTGTACGGGGAACTCAGCTGGAGAAGAGCCCATCCTAATGGTATCTCTGATCCCTTTTTTACTCAACATCTGTCTCCGGTGTTTGGTTTGAGAAAAAATATATTGAGAAATTGACATAAATTGTAGATAAAATCTATTATGACGTGAATGAAATTTACTTGCTTATCAACTTGACGTCTTCAGTTTTTAGAGCTTTAATCACCTTCAGTCATATCTTGTTTTGCTCTCTCTATCATGCAGACCCACTATTTGGCAGCAAAGCTTCTGCTTCTGTATGTCAGAGATTATCTCAGCTAAGGGTCAATCCAGGACAAAGGAGGGGCCTTGATCTGGGTCTGGCCCATTTGCTCAGCCAGTGGCAGTCATGTATGTGGGTGGCGTTGTTCCTGAACCAGTTACTGTGCTTCCCGCTACCTGAACCTCAATGTGCCTGGTAGGGTTTGGCCATAAAACAATCCCAGTGAAATATTTCGTAGTTCTCATCTTTGCTGTTTTGAATAAATAATCACCTTCTTCATTTATCAGATTTGCCCTAAAAAGATTATAGTATATGGGGGAAAAATACAACTATAATCATATTTGTATGTAATATCTTTTTGTATGTAATATCTTTTTGTATGTAATATCTTTGGACAAAACAACTATATACAGGGGTGCACATAAGTTTTTTTTAGCCTGGTTCTCATAAGAGAACCTGGGGATTTGGTTTGGTCCTCACACTGCACATAGTGTGACCCATTAAATACAACTATAAAAAAAATAAAGTAATCGTAGTGATAATATTGTTGCACTTTATTTTAGTGTTTTTTTTTAATTATAAAATAATAAACTAAATAATAAAGTGTGATAATATTATATTTTAAAATAAAAAGGGAGTATTAAATACAAATACAACTATTTTATAGTAAACTTAAAAATAAAATGCTAATATTTACTTCTTTTTTTAAAAGGTTTTTTTGGCGGGTTGCCGGCAAGTAAGTATATGCGCTTCTGGGTTTAGCGCTATGAAGATTTAAGTATGTAGTCTATGCACATTTGTTCAAAACAGCCTGGCAGATTGTTCACAAGATGTAGGCAAAAGTTTGTATTGTATACAGGAAGGATGCGCGTTCTTATCATTCTTCTGTTGCGCTGCTTGTCTATTTCTCTTCAAAGCACCAACTTAAAATGCCTATTTTGGTTTGATTGCTTGTGTCACATGAGAAAATAAATAATTTTGCCGTACTGATGCAATAGCCTATTTAATGCGGGTGCGGTTCAGGTCGCGGTCTTTATGTCAAACGGGTCGGGTACAGAATTAAATTGGTGCTGGCTGCTGTCGGATAACGGGTCGGGTGTTCTGTTGTGTACTGCGGATGCAGGTTTACCTAACAGGACCCGTGCAGGACTCTGCTTTAAACTGCATTGCGTCTCTCCGTCAGATAACCTCACGTGCATGATGCGCCATTTACGGGTATTTCCCGGTATTTCCCTAAACCGACACACATCAATTTATTTTGATTTTTTTTTTTTTTCAGTTTACGAAAATGTTTTTTGAAATATCGAAATATCGGAAATGTGTTTAAAAATCATATCACCGTTATTGAAAAAAATTATATCGCGTTACATATTGATATTGAATTATTGTCCAGCCCTATGTCACAGTTTTGCATTGTGCTTTGAAAAAGGCAGAGGGTAGCCTAGATATATTTATCTATTCAGTTTGAGTAGAAATCTTATACAGTATTACAGTTTGTCGATCTAAAATGGTAATTGTGCATTAACAGCTGTCAATCATGTCGGTACGCAAATGCGCTGTCAGAACTTATTTACACAGCGCATTTTTTATTTTGGTCTCGAATGCGCACCTGCGTACCACTTATGTGCACCCCTGACTATATATATATATATATAAGTCATCGTAATAATAATAATACATTTAAATTATTTTTTAAATAATTTTATGTTAAGATTTGTATGTAATATTATTAGATAAATCACATGAATTATATAAAAAATATGCATATACATAATTCATATGATTTATCTACATCAAATATATTACAAAAAATATCATTATAATTGTATTATTACTTTATATATTTATTTATACATAATTTAAGTATATTTTATAAGTATAAGTATATTTTAATTTAAGTATATTATTTACAGTATATTTATTATATCATATTGCTGTCTGTGTTTCTCAAAGGGTTTTCAGTGGCACTCTGCTGCATGGTCTTGAGGCTGCCATAAGAGGGGGTCACCAATGTGAGTCTCTGCTTGCAGGGGACGCTGTTGCTTGGCAGCTCTACTCCATCCTGCTTGAGGCATTGATGGGTCCTGCAGTATCAGCAGCAGCAAGCAGGGGTAGAGGAGAGGAGCAGAGACAGGCACAGCAAAGAGGGAGGGGCCATGGTGGGAGAGGGCGGGGCAATGCAGGGAGAGGGCGGGGCAATGGGGGAGGAAGGAGGGGCAACAGAAACAGAGCAATGACCTCTTCAGACAATGCTTTGGACAACAGATTTGCCCTGTTGACCTTTGACGAATGGCAGCAGTGGTGGGCTTGAAATGGGAGCGGGAAATGAAAGATTTGAAAGGTTAGTTTAGGAGAGGAGAATAAAGAATTTCAGAGATAGATATGTTTTTAGCTATGTTTTTATGCGGCCTTTCACTTTATAAAAGCATGATATGGCTGAGGATGTGCCACTTTTTTCCGAAGAGAGTAGCTTTTACCAACTTCATTTCAGGAAACACAAATTTGTTTTATTTACTATGAAAATGTTTTACTATGAGAGCTGTTATACATGCACTAGGTTAATCTATTTTGCAGCTACATTATGAAAATGGGCTGTTTAATGTAGCCTTTTATACTATTTAATGGAATTAACTTTTATGAAAAAGAATGTAGATTTTGTATATTATCAAATGACTCTTTTGGGACCAATGCCTTTTTATTAAATATTTATGGTGATAATTTGCTAGTACAATTAATGTTTTTAATTGGAGCAGATTCCTCTCCTTAATTATGTGAACCTTGATTATTGTGTCATTGAGACACCAATATGGTGTAGAAACCTTCAGTGTCATTCTGTTTCAAAACGGCACACAATCTCTTGCTTCCTTGCGGTCGCTCTCTGAAATTACCTGCAGACTGAAATTAAGAGCCAAATTATCAAGTGCAGTTTTATTGGGAAGTCTTATTGTGCTCTAGTGGATGTCAATCAAGGCACATCCTTACAAGAGACTTGTCTTAATTTTCATATCTCTTGACAGAAGTGAGTGTTTTTTGCCATAAATAGGATGTACTGGCTTGAGGTACATTTTAATTGAGTGAAATATCATTTATTTTTCAAAGTATTTGTTTCTGAAATGTCTGAATGCACTTAAACATGAAAGGTTCTGTTGATGATAGGGCTGTCGCGATTCGTCGATTTTATTAGACTATTCGATTTAAAAAAATCCTCGACTTCATTTTGCTCGTGTCGACTGACCGGTGTTACGAGATTTTCCCGGACATGCGCGTGGAACCAAGTGGAACTGAGAATTTCAGTTCACGCGCCTTGTATCTCAGCAGGTTTAATGGGATATTTAAAAAAATGTAAATATTTTACAGCGTTGCACAAACCTATGCCTAAACTACATTTGTTCATCATTTTGTAACAGTTTATAATGTTTTCATTAGTTTGCACGTTTTGTGCAGTCGTCACTGACTGAATGATTGCAGACATTCAGCACACTTAAGCTAGTTGTAACTTACTTTGATTTCAGTTTGTTGTGCTGTAGCTTGCAATGCTTTAAAACTGTGTCTGTTGTTAGTTGTTTTCATTTAAATACAACAGCTGAAATAAACTTGTATTTGTGGATCGTTTTTCATCTATCCTGGTGTGATTGTTCTTAAACTGTTAGGCTTAGGCTGTATTTACAAAATGAATAGGAATCCAAGACCACACACACAAGCATGAAAGTGTTCCTTTAATAAGTAACATTTTGGATTAAACAAAATTGTATGGACACAAGTTTAAAAAGTAGCCTATATTTGGTACACTGTAAATGAGAAAACAAATACTTCACTGCATTTAATGGAATGGAATAAGAAACTAATTTAATGTTAAAAAATAATTTCATTAACAAATGTTCATAAGTGTGCTTGTGCTTGTTTTGATATGATATATACATTCTAAGGATTTGTATTAGTAAGGTTCTTTGTTCATGTCACCAACTGCATCAATTAAAAATATTAAAAAACATTAATATTGTGGAATAATTTTACAATTTAAAATAAAAATATTTTCCCCCTGTGATGTCAGATCTCAACTTCTCCTCTTCAGTGTCTCATGATCTTCAGAAATCATTCTAATATGCTGATTTGCTGCACAA